TGGTGAGGAGAGAAAAACACCCTTTCTTTATTTTCAATGAGAAACAGCTATTTTATTGTTTGTTGTACATGCTCTGTAGCTGAATTCCCCAAAGAAACCGGAAACCCTGATAGCAATTTCTCATGGCAGTATATTGAAATTCTGGAGACATATGGGTTCTTGAAAGAATGTGATCCTTTTATTTACATAAGAGAAAAAAACACAATGTATAATAAAAAAGGGGAGTTAAGTTTATTCCTTTAGAAAGTTCAATATGACCATAATGCTCGATCAGTCCGTTCTGTTTCAGAAATACAACTCGTACACACCCTAGATCAGAAAGTCTCTTCAATAATGCACCAAATGGTATCAGGGCTTTTAAACAGTCTTGGCACAATGATTTCAGTGCTCATACGGTGCATTTTGTTTTTTCCAGCTGAGAAGCAACCTTCAGCACCCTAAGGAAAGGAACAACCTCAGTCCTCAGGGTAGCTGCCACAGCATACACGCCCTGCTCTGTGCTCTGAGAGTAATACAAATCAAACTTAAAGTACTGGACAGTGCATACCCCTCTCTTTCATTATTTAGCATTGGAATCTCTGGATTGCATGAGCGAAACAATACATCAATCACAGCCCCCTGCCCCACCCCGCTCAACTTTTCAGTCACTAACAATCTGATAATATTTGCATATTGTTCTTTAAAATTTCAAATCCAAGGGCTAAATTAAAAAGTCCTTGTATTTCCTACGTATTTTACATCATGGTTATAAATGGTCTCTCCTTTTTCCAATCCCCTTGTCAAACAAAATTATTTCAGCTGAATAATTCTGTAATGTATATTTTAAGAACCGTTCTCACTTACTTTTAAAAAATCCCTCAGAAAATGATTATTCATATATCCTCTTACCCATCTATCTCTTCCTATTTCAAAAAGAAAAGATTACTCATTCCTTGAACAACTCCAGGAAGTAAAAACTGTGTTGACATCTTTCAGATTAGTGATCAATTTTATAGCCCCAGGTATTGGGATATAAACAATAGTTTGAAGAAAACCTTGCTAAGAAGATATCATGGCATATCCACTATGTTTTTAATAGGAGAACACAATTTTCACCTGAATTTGTAGTGTCTTTTAATAATTGTTTGCTGGGGTGGGGAAATGAGAGTGGGTAGAGAAAGCCCAGGGGAAGGGACGGAGCCTCTCTGGCTTTTCTGTGTGAGCCTTGGTAATTTGCCTCTTCCCACGTTACCTCACCGAAGGCTTTGAGACCCTCTTCAAGGGCCAAGTCTGTCAGAATTGAAAATAATGGCAAATACTAAACAGAGGGTCTAGACAGTGGTGACGCTGGCAGTTTTCAAAGTCTTAACACAACAATTACGTTGTTCTAGGGTTAGATTTTTCTGAAACTTGAAAAAAATTGAACATCTTATTTGGAATTGGCAATTTGAAAACATACTGGAAAAAGATCCCAATGTGCTGGTATGCATGTTAATCCCTTCCTTTTCACATTTAAAAACTATTTATCATTGTGGAAGAGGCCTTCATGTCTAAAGGAAGCTGTGAGAGTGTGACGGTGAGTAAGAAGCAACATCTAGCCTGGGAATGTAATGTAAACTATACAGGATCTCTAAATTGTAGACTCTCTAGGTCAAGAGACATTATTCAGTGAGCATTTTCATAACCTCGGCACCATTCCAGATAGATGGGAAAAGGGATGATGCCAACAAGCAGAAGAGAGAAATGAGCTGGCCTCACTATTGCTTGGAAGAACAGAAGTGAGAGCGACAGATTTTTTTTTTTTTTGGAGAGGTTTTTGCTATAGGGCACGTGCGCTCGCCAGACAGACAGAGAGACAGAGAGATAGAAAGCAGGAAATCACCCCCCAGGGGGGATGGCCACGCCGCAATCCCTTCTCCTCCATTCTCCTCTCGGGATCTTGGGCTCGCACGCACACGCGCCCGGCGTGAGTTTAAGCCACCGGGTCCGGGACTCGAACCGCGGTCGACTATGTGGGAGTCCAGCGACATAGCCATTATGCTAACTGCTGGTCCCGAGAGCGACAGATTTAAAGAAGGACTTGTCAAGGAAGAAGTAGTTGCTGGGGCCAGCAGGTGGCTTAATGGTTACATCACTGGACTCCCACAGGGCTGACTGGTTCAAGTCTCACCTGGTGGCTTGAAAACCAGGCCTGGCATGTGTGTGTGTGTGCCCAAAATCCCAGGAAGAGAATGAAAGAGAAGAGACTGGCATGGCCACAGAAATCACCTTGATGGGTGATTTCTCATTTTTCCTTTCATTATCTCTGCCTGTCTCTCTGGCAAATGCACATGCCCTAGGGCAAAACTTCTTTACAAAAGAAGAGAGAAAGAAAGAAGAGAGGAGAAAGAAGAAAGAAAGGAAGAGAGGAAGAAAGAAAGAAAGAGAGAAAGAAAGAAAAAGAGAGAGAGAACGTAGTTGAGGGCCAGTCCTGTATCACAATGCTGTAGGGAGCTAGGTCCCAAAGTGCTGACTGCAGTTCTAGCCCTGATCCTGGTGGCTTGGAAAACATACCTGGCGCATGTGCAAGTGTGCCCAGAATGACGATGAGAAGGAGGAATAGAGGAAAAAAGATTGTGGCCTGACTAGGCTTCATTGAGGTGGAGGGAGTGCTCTCTCTCTCTCTCTCTCTCTCTCTCTCCCCCTCTCCCTCTCCCTCTCCCTCTCTCTCTTTCACGGATGAGTGCATGTACCCTCCAGAGGTGAACAATTAATAAGTAAAAATAAAATACAACAAAAACTTCCATCACCCTCCCAAAAATAAATAACATGAAAGCAGCAGTCAATTGCAGGTTGAAGCATGAGGAGTTCACTAGTTGAAGAATGATTCAGAAGGTGCTGTGGGTACGTAGGCAGGCAGGAGGATGAAACATAAAAAATAATAATAAAAAAAGAAAAAGAGTGTCCAACTGGGGCTGAAACATTTTTATATGGTGTATATATAGCATAGAATATTTGTGGTACAAAAAGGGCCGGATGGGAGGAGGTGGAGGGTGAGGGAGAGTGCAGGGGAATGTTCTTCAAAAGGCAGACTGGAAACTGTGCAGAGATTTCTATGCCACATATCAATGACATTCCAATATATTCTACACTAAAAAATAGACATCAAAAGCTTTCAGCAGGTAATAAATGGATCATGTGTGAGTTTAGGAAGAAATTTCATGGCAGCTTATAACAGGTGTCTCCATCTGTGGCATTTGAACTACCTGCTATTGATGTACCTGGAAAGATCATTTAAAAAGTGGTTCCTTCTGCCCACCACACACTTACTGGAAGTGAACATTTGAGGTTGGGATGCAGGAATCTGCAGTGTTACCAGCTTCTCAGGTGATCCGTGGGGATCCCAACATTGCAGAAACACTGCTGAAGGTGAAATTGGGAAAATCAGAGGTAGGACAGCTAGAGTTGAGGTTCTCTTTAAGCTAAAACTAAAGTGGCCAAATCAGCAGATGGCAGGTGGTTAAGGCACTGGACTTCCACATGGTTGACACTGGTACTAGTCCCAACTCATGCCAGGTGCTTGAAGAGAGTTGAGTGGAGGAAAAGGGATTGTGCCATGGCCAGCCCCCCTTGGAGGATGATTTCTCACTTTCCCTCTTTCTGTCTTTCTCTGTCTCTCTCTGGAGAGTGCCTGTACCCTAGGGGAAAAAAATCTAAGAAACTAAAATGGCAGAAAACTGAACGAGGATCTTTCAGAAAGAAAAAAGAGAATGGTGAAAAGATCTTATTAAATGAACAAACAATATTCTCCCAAGAAAAACTGGATTTGAGACATAACTCAAGTTAGGAGGTAAAGATTAATTCCCTGGAGGAGTAATCAAATAGAGTCTAGGAAGAGTTTTAAAGAAACAGGTTTTCAGAAGAGACTACATGTGAAAGACGTGCTTTCTGAAAGAAATAACAAATACCCCTGTTATTAGAGCATAGTTTGAGATTGTGTCAGGGGAAGGAGCAAGGTTCTCGGGGATTCTATGATTACTTCCAAGGAGTTAGGATAGGAATGGGACTGAAGAGATGTAGTTTAGTTTGCATTTTAGAAAGGCCATTTTGACATGTTTAAGAAAGGGCAAGAAAATGAACTTTGAAAACACCAATTAGGAGCCAAGAGATCAATTAAGACCCTTTGCAATAAGATAGCCAATATCAGATAGAAGCTGCCAGTAGGGTTCTTGAATCAGGGCAACCTAGGCAATGGCCCTGGCTCCATCCCCTTAATAAAATTCAGTAAATAAAAAATCCTGTCTCATAGGTATGTTGTAAAAATAGTATATGATTTGGTATGGTACATATAAAGTATTGACCTAGGGTTTGATACATAAAAGTGTTCAATACATTTTAAAAAAATCTTATTCCATAGGGAACATGTAGGTGGTATGATAGTAAGAGTAGAACTACTAACCGTACAAATACAAGTG